TTTTTTTTTTTTTTTTTTTTTGTTGAAAAAAAGAGTAAATTGATGACATGCTTAGTTGTAATTCTATTTATTTGGAAGGTAGTGAAGGACATTCATGAGATCATAGAGTCTTAATTGGGAAAAGTGGTGACATTCTTTAATGCAATTAAGAAAATGTTGAGGAAAAAAAAGGTGAGAAAAAATTATTAAGTTAGTTCAATTATTAAATGATAATAAAGTTTGTGGGAATTATTAAAAGCCTCTAAATCTTGCACAAATATTACTTAATTTGTTTTCTTTTAATAATGTAGAGAAAATGAAGGTATGAATAATAGTAATTGACATGTATTCTCGATCAAAAGTTATTTACGTATACACATGTAACAACCTAAGTCCATCAGCCTCACGGTTTTAAAATTCATCTACTATGGAGATGTTTCCACACACTTAAGAATGCTTCGTTCCTCCCTCCAACCGATGTGGGATCTCACAATCCACCCCCTTAGGAGTTAGCGTCATCGCTGGCATATCATCTGGTGTCTGGTTCTGATACCATTTGTAACAGCCCAAGCCCACTGCTAACGAATATTGTCTGTTTTAGGTCTTGCGTATTTTCGTAAACCTCACGATTTTAAACACACACATACACACATACACACGCATGCACACACACGCACACACACGCACGCACACCCACACACACACGCACGTGCGCACGCGCAAGCACGCACGACTCACACGGATCAAAATATGTTAGCATTGCACAACTCACACGGATCAAAATATGAAGAGCAAAAGAAAAAAGATAGTTTGAATGATTGGAATTCTAGATTTAAATAATTTAAATTAATATAGGTTACTTTAGAATTTAGTTATGGTTGGATATAAGTGTCAAATATGGTTTACGATCGATTGTCGTGAACTCCTTGTAGCCATACATGTTTGACGATGTTAACGAAACTTGAACCACGAACGATGCTGGAGTACAATAAGTGCTTTATCCAGAGTGCGACGATGGTGACATGTTTTGACAAGAACTTAGACGATGTACAACTATCCCTCTATTCCGTGTTTGGTGATGTCCAACGACCTCATTCTACAAATTATGTGTTTGACAACCTATTAAGATTTATGTTATAAAGTATTGCAGTTAATTATTTACTTTTTAATAATATTTTGATTATTTAGATTTTGGATGAAAAATTTAAGATTATTAGTGTAAGCTTCAAAGTTCGGTTTTATTAGCATGCATGTATATCGAAGTGATCTCTACAAGTATTTCTTCCAAATTTTCGTGTGGTTATTTACTTGGATGACGCGTGTCTTCCCAAACTAACTTTTCTTGTGTTAGAAGCTCCAAAATTTCTGAAAATTATATGGTATGTCTTAATTCAAGTTAAATTAAGATTAGTATTGAAATTAAGAAGAAAAACTGTATAAAGGAGGTCGAACGAGGCAAAAAGAGATCCCTAAATGTACATATAAACGTGCCTGGGGAGAGGGAAACGTGTCCCCACGGTGTGACATTGCACATTTAACTCCTAGAGATTGGGTTTGATCCGTCGCAAGCATGAAATTTCTCCAATTATTCTCGTAACAATAAATGGTGCACCCATGTGAGATGTGGGTCGCAGGTCGGGTCAGGCGGATGGTTTGGCTCGAGTGCAGGTTGCTAAATTATATGAGGGTGTGGGTCAGACTACCCGAAACACGTAATTCTACTAGTTGATTGACACACGACTCTCTCTTCTTATGACACCTATTGGTTTTTTTGTCCAAACGTATGGACCGCCTGCTTGTGCAACGCGTGTCCGTCGGGTATTCACCTGCAAATACAATTTTTCTAGAAACCGATGAATTTTTCGATCCAATCTAATTTTTCACATAAAACTTGGATCAACTTGGTTTCTTCACCAAAATTGTAGAATTCCAATTAATCTACACATTGATACTTTTACTCATAATTTGTTATCAACCATCGACTAAAATAAATACGTCCAAGGATCGTCCAAAACAAAAAACATACCAATCTTGCAATTTTTTTATGATCGTCTGAATCTCATCTTCTCATCTAAATTAACTTTGAATTTCTTCCTGAATCTTGTGTAAAATTCCTCTGAGAACAATTACTTAAAAATAAGAACCTAATTCCAAGAAATACTCTCGGATTTGGAGGAAAATCGAATTAAAAAATCTGAAATCTATACTTTGTTCTTCCTCCATTCTTGAGGAAATTGAGTGACTTAGAATCCCAAAATAGATGTTATCAACTCCAAATGCGATGTCCCACATTGGTTGGGAGGAGAACAAAACACCCTTTGTAATGGTGTGGAAACCTTCGCGTTTTAAAGCTTTGAGGGGAAGCCGGAAAGGGAAAGCCCAAACAGGACAATATCTGCTAGTGGTGGATCTGGGTTATTACAAATGATATCAGAGCCAGACACCGGACGATGTGTTAGCCTTCTCGCTGTTC